CATTGTAGTGACTATTTGTAATAATTGTTACTGTAAATTTTACTGTTGTATGTATATTAAAATATATTTGTGTTAAGAAGGGAAAAAGGTATGTGTATATCAATCTGGTTGGCAAATATCGTAAATTGACTAATATATCGGCATATATTTAAATACTAAATCCAAAGTACAATTTAACTACTAAATCCAAAGTACAATTTAACTACTAAATTTAAATTATCAGTTAACTCGGCTTAGGACCATTTGAAATTCCAATACGTAACAATATATATTATCAGCCAGATTAGTAAATTAACGTTTGAAATCAAATGAAAGATTTTATTTCATAAAACATTCATTACCTTTAGATTCTTCAAACATATACCTTAAGATACCTGTTTATTTATTACATCAGTGTGACACAACTACTGAATATTTACTAGTCTTTGATCAATGTTATTGCTATGGCTATTTAACTGATTTAGTTGAACTTTATCAAGTTTATTTAACATTACAGAGATACAATTTATCGCTTTTGAATGAAACTCTAGGTTATGACACATTCAAATGTTTTTCTTTTTAAAATGTATACAATAAATTACAGACTTTTAAATGCTTAATTCATCTTTAAGCTTCAGAACATTGAAATCGCTTGCTTGACGAATAACATTAATTGTGCATTTAAAGGTATCAAAATTTAAATATTTGACTTAACATGCAATTTTCAAAGTAATTGATAAAATAAAGTACTGAGATTATCTAAACTATTTCCTATAACTAAAAGTGTAAAATGATCTAAAACATTTAGATCCTTACATAAGAGTCAGGAAAAGTTTCAATTACTAATATTATGGGATCGACCTAATACAAAGATCAAAAGTTTTACCGAATATTTTGGTTCCTGTACAATTTCTTGGTAGCTCATAGACTGGAAGTAAATGAAGACCTTGGCTTTTTCAGTACTGATAACGAGGCAAATAACAATGTAGTTGAACGAGTTGTTAGAAGTTAATAATATTTATTTAAGCAACGATATTAATATGTTTTACTTTATGGTTTAATAAATCAGATAAATAAATTCTAAAGTTAAGTTTTGATATTATTTAAACATAACTGGACAATTAAAAATGTTTAAACTTTTCTAATTTAAAAAAAAATGTTTATAACCTTTTATGGTTTTCTAGCATATGCAATATATCTATATAAATGTAATAATACTGTCTGTTGTATGTCCTTGTAACTACTTTGCAGAGTGTGGATGGATCTTCAACAAATTTGGTATGGAGGTTCACTGGGTCCATGGGGAGATACTTACAAATTATCAGGTTTGTATTTTGCGTTTTGCGGTTTTTATGGGCGTTTTGCGTTTTTTACAATTACATACACAAGAAGCAAGTTTTCATTCCCTAAGATAACCTTGCATTAATCATGAATTTACATAACTTCTGTCCAGGGTACAATATAAATGAAATTCCTAAACACTGGTAGTCATATGTTCACCTATCTTTTGTCTCAAACATATAGCTTTTGTACATAATTTACTTAAACCTATTTTTTTGTGATTTTTACATAGTTATATGAAATTACTTTTTAAAGTTTTAGTAAAATATGATATACAAAAGAGTATATTGATTGCGTTTCTTTTATTCAAGATTACTGAACTCTTTCTACTCGTAATTAGGTTCCCGCTGTGCAGCTGGTTTTTCAGAATTGGATATTCGCGTAAATTTACACAAGGGCTACCTGAATTATGAATTGATAGGCGATATGGAAGGCAGCTAGTGAACAGCATCCGCCAGCTCTTTGACTACTCTAATCGGATAGAGGGCTTTTGACAGTTACTCTTATAACGCCCTAAAGCGTGCTTTTTTTTTTCCTTTGGATACGTGGCGCGAACCATGGAACCTCGGATCCACAGTCCGACATGCTAGCTACAAAGCCACGCCTGGACCTTTTTAATGGAGTCTCATCAGTCATAAAATCATTTCCCTTATAATTTGAAAACCTCCAGACTTTACTGGTACTTTCCATTGGTTCATTACTTACTCAGAAATGGCTTGTGACGTTTCATCTTCACTCGAATCTTTCAGTAACTGGCACTGTAAGGAAAAATCTTTAATCTCAGTTCTAAAATTACAAATTATGTGTTGTTGTTTTTTTCGCTTCTTACATGTGAAATGTAATCTTAAAGATGGCCCACACTTTATCAGGGATTACATATGATCTCCAATAATTAAATATTTTTTTATGTTCTTCGGTAAAAAAAACATTAATTTTTGCCTGATTTTTATATTATAATAAAATATTGATTTCTCCCTGCAAAACCAAAAATCAGATCATTATTGAAACTAGAGAACTAGGATTTATTTTTAAAATTAACATGATAAGGTAGTTAACATGATTTGACCTTTAAAAATATTTGAAACGTCCAAATTGTCGATGCTTCATTTTAAAAAAGGCTTCTTTACAATTTATGTAAGATTTACTTCAATTAATTACATAAAACACCGTTCCCATATAAAGAGTGCTTTTACAATACGTTCTAAATATATTTAAATCTTGAAGTGCAAACATTTATTTACAAATTTACGAAAAAAGTGACCCTTTATATAGGTTTTACTTGCTTTAGTGCCTCTTAGACGCCTTAGCATAATAATCTGAAGTTATTGTTCTTTTAATCTCCTCGTGTTAACGTGAAACTTGTATTTCGCTAATATAGCTTAAACTGCGCTTTTTAACTCACACTGAAGGTAGTAATTGCACAAGGATTTTAATGTTATATCTTTGTTACCGATAAAACGTGAGGATGGTTAATAACATGATTACTAAAACTTTCTATTAGTCACACTGTTTTGAGGAATGAATACTGTGTGGTTAAAATGTCGTAAGCTATGACCACAGGAGTTGATGTCTAGAACAACCTACAGTACAAAACAGATTAAATGTACAAGGTTATAAAAATGTGCTAATTCTGAGGTCAATCGGGGTAAGGTCAAAATCAAACCATTGAATTTGATATGAGAGTTCTGCGAGAACTGAGTTAGCACTCAGGTCAAACTAGTTAGATCTTAATTCTGTTGTTTTTTTATATTTTTTAACGCAAAGCTACATAGTGGGTTATCTGCGCTCTGTCTACCACGGTCATTCGAGCCCCGGATTTTAGCGTTGTAAGTTCGTAAACGTACCACAAGCCTAAAGGGGGACATTCTTGGTTTTGAGAAAATCGTTCTTAAAATTACCTGAATAACTCTATCTTATGTATTTTAAATCTTTAGTTATCTATTGCTATTTATTGATCATGATAAGATATGCATTTTTTATTAGTTTTTATTAGCATCAGGAGTACAAACTAAATATGTTTATGTCTTCAGATTTGTAAAACAAAAAAAAAAAAACATATTTTATCACTACAATTAAACAAACTACACATATAAATTATAATATGGAAAAACGACAATTCAAATATCGTAGCTAATTTAGGTAATAAAACGACGCTTAAACTAAACGTTATCTTAACAGCGTCTCTGTACAGAATTAAAGTTACGTAACAGTTTTGTTACGGTGAATGAATTTTGCTGGAATTGCTTCCGATTAGTAAAGTACTAAACGTTATCTTAACAGCGTCTCTGTACAGAATTAAAGTTACGTAACAGTTTTGTTACGGTGAAAATATGCTTAGAGAGACGAATTTAGTTGAAACTTGTCCTCTCATTTCGTTACTCGCGCTTCAGACTATTTTTAGGTTGTTAGTATATATGTTTTTTTTTCCTATTTTTCATTTTCTTAATAACTTAGGTTCGCCAAATCAGTTCACACGATTAACGACGACTACAGTTAAGTCTTGTTTCGTAGTTGAAGTTTTAAAATTGGTATAACGTCTTTATACCACTGTAAATCTTGCTGAAGAAGTATAACACTTTCACTCAGATGGTAGGATTTTTTTTTGGTTGAAGTTACTTGCATATTTACTGATTATTTAAGCTAAATGAACACGTGATTAGCAGGATAGGTAAGAAAGTAACATGAATGGATTGTTTTTTTTTACCTGTTTCGTTTCTTTTCCACCTGACACAAACTTCTGATAGGACATTTCGCTGTAAAAAGATGAAAATGTAAAACGAATCTAATATTTACATATATAGAGAAATCATATATTATTTGCTTTAAATTACAGGTATCATTCTAAATACAGCTTCAAAAGTATGATGCTCTAACAAGACACGTATTTAACTTTTTGTCAAAAAATGCAGAAAACTGTTAGCCTTACTTGCAACGAGGAGGGCAATCACATCCCATTTTCCCATCATAGTACATTTTTGTCATCTTTTCCAAGCAGGTCTTGTTACCTTTTAACCAGGAATGTTGCAGTAATATGCAAAAATTGATAGTAAAATATACAGACAGATAAAAGACAGAACCTCAAATGAAAACTTAAATAACACTAAGCAAATATTTCATGTTAAAGATGTTTAAACATGTTTTTTTAAAATAACAATTTTAAAGTATAATGCACGATTAAGTGGACTTTATCAACATCTAATATCTAAAACCAGACAGATCAAGAATTTGAATGTATTTCATTCTCCAGAATTTTATTTGAAATTAATCAATAAGTCTTGCATATTTTGTCTTCGATAATTTGTACGATATTTGGTTTATTAAACGTGATAGGCACTTTTGAAGCACAGATGAAAGACCCCTTGTGGTCAGGTATATTCATGCGTAATTTTGAAATACTAACTTATGCCCAGGGCGTAAATCTGCTAGTCGACAGCATCCGCTGCCACGAAGGCTTTGTTAGATATTGAGTAGACTAATCTCAGTGAAACTCAAATTATAAAAGGTTTGTGCTTTTATTCAGTTGGGTTATGAGGTGGTATTCTTTAGTTGAATAATGTGTACACAGTTTCTAAATGGATTAGAAAAAGTGCTTCTCTTCAGTTAGATAACGTGATAAAATTAATGTTTCTTCACTGGTAAAATATTTCTCTCTCTATATATATATTTATATATAATTCATAAAACTACCCTTTTACAACTTTAAAAATCAAACACTACGAATGATCTTTGAGAAGACTAATTTCAATTATAAAACATAGAATTACGTAGTAATTCTATTGGACTTTTTTTTAGACTTATATTTGCAATACAATTTTTCTAACGTTTAAACGTTATATTTACCTGGTATTTTAAAACTGCACTGAGGGATTTGTCCATAATAACTGGGTACAGGGGTTGAAGTAATGAGGCACTTGCAGTTCTCTATAACTTTTATGTGGTGACAAAACTTTAAACACGTCTATAGCAAGAAACAAAATAAATAACTGAAACTAGTATGTTACACCCTTTCATTCATATTTGTACAATTTAACAAAATTCTTAAATCATGTCTAATTTTATAATGTTCACAACGCTTTAGTATAGAGTAATAAACACAGCCTTCATAGGTGATTACACTGTCTCTGGTGTGCCATACTAAAGTACAATAGCTTTATATGATCTATGTTTAAATTGTATACGAAGTATTCGATCAGTGTAATACATGTATACATATAGTATGAATAAATCTTATGTTGTACTTGTGTTGAGTTATCGTTCACTAAACTAAATGGACTTTAGTTTTTAGAACTAACCGTCTTCCATGCCACAGTATAATATATTTCTGATAAATCTCTAAACAAGGAAAGGCTATATAATTATCTTTATTCTTGCCAGCTTATGACTGGAACACTTGAACTCTGTAAAGAATAAGTTGACGCTAAACTATTGACGCTACTAAATTAAGTTGTCAGAACATCTAAGCACTGTATAGGGGTCTTTAGAGTGAATCCTAATATCATCTGGTGTACAAGGAGGTAAGAAAAAATACAATAGCTGTTTGTTTCCAGATGTACGTTCTCTAACGTTATCCTGCTTTACGAGGGTATATGAACAACTAGCTCACTCTGGTAAATGTAATTTTCTAAATAAGAGCCAATACTACAGTCGGCCTGTTCTCCAGAATGAAATAAAAATGGTACAACGGTTTATTTGACCAGTGGTACAAAATATAGCGGTGATAGGGTCCCTAAGTTCATCAGTGCAGACGAGGTACCAATGATGAAGTACTAATAAACTTATCAAACACATGTTATTATTATTATATATATGTGTGTTATTGTTCTTTTCTTTTCCAATTTAAGCTCCTACCTTTAACTTTCACAGAGTAAATTTCATTTTATTTAAAACACTCTGTTTATAACTTTTAACCAAAATGAACAACAAATACTTAAACAAAATTATTTTTATTTCTTTTAATCTTAATCAACGTTCCTACGAATCCGATCGTTTTCTCTCTCCCTCCCTAAGTAATCGAAATATTTAAAGTCATTGTCCGACCTTATCTTTGGAATCATTCTCCGTGATGTAATCCTATTATTCTTACTGACTTCTGAAGAGCTGAAAAGAAACTTACTTTACCAAAAATGAGACTGTCGTCTCGCCATTTTTTGCCACAACTCCTCTGTTAAGTCTTTCACAACTAATCGTGCACTCCAGTGGGTCAGCGGTAAGCCTTCATGCTCACACGCAAGAAACCGGGTTTCGATACTCGTGGTGGGAACAGCACAGATAGCCCATTGTGTAGATTTGTGGTTAATAACAAAGTACCAACTTATCGCCAAGCTAGTTCGTTCACATTGTATGCTTAAGATTAACAATCCTGTCAATCTCTCTTGGGTTATTGAACTTCTGAGCTAGTTTTTGATGAATTTAAGCTTTGAGAAAAACCTTTTTTCACTCGCCACAGTATCTGGTATAATCAAAAAGAGTTTCAGCGCTGTTGCAACAACCAAAACACTTGACAAAATAGTGTTATAATGGCTGGAGACGGCTTGAATGGGTAATGAAGAAAAACTTTAATATAACAGCAAATGTTTTTCTTCATTACCCATTCAAGCCGGCTCCAGCCATTATTAGTCTCAAAGTGGGTTCCTCGTCATCGAAAATAGTGTTATGTTTCAAAAATAAAAGATCAGTTAGATATTTAATTTTACCACCAGCAATCTGTTGTATTTCGTTCTTCAATGCGATTCTGAATGACAGTAGGAAAGTCTGAAGATAAATTCTATTTGTACTGAATCGTCAGTGATTCGGCTGATTTAAACAGTTCTTTATCATTAGCACCAAGTATTTCAGAAGAAGATATACAATCAAATCGCTCACTATAGTGTTCATTTTACAGAATCGAGTTTTCATCCCTATCAGTGTTGGCATAGAACACTGCTACCTTAGAATTTTCCTAGGATTAGATAACTTTTAGTCTTTGCAGAGTTCGTCAAAATAATTTTTTGTACCTCGTAAGCGTTTTTCGGTAAACTTGAGTTCACCTCAGACTAGTTGCAAGTGAAGATGCGATAGCTTTAATTCTCCAAACTGTTTCCTAAAGCTTGTAAAGGCTTCGAATGCAGTATTTAAAATAATAGCAACTAGGAAACAATCCATGAGCTTAGACTGAAGCGGTTTTGAAAACGAAGTTTAGAGTTGTAGTAATATCAGGTGAATTCATTTCTCTATGAGTATCAGATAATTAGACCTATTAATAACGGCAGATTTTAGTACGAAATAAGGAGAATACCTGTGTTTAATAACCTGATTGCGTTTTAAGTTGCGCGAGAAATGAACAGATTGGACACGTTTGACGGGCAATGAAAAACAATCACTTTATTTAGACATCCACGCACTAAAAAAAAGAACAAAAAAAAGAGTGTGCGTACCTGCATAGACAAGTGATATTACAGTCACAAATTCTACCAACCTGGATGCTATATTTTACTGCAATATTCTCTTGGAAAGAATAGGCGTTATCTACTATAAAAAAACAAAAAACGAGTACAACTGGACTACGTGTTTACGCTAAAATTGCATACAACCTAAATAAACGATAAGTTTTAAAAATTGCCACGTCACTAAAGCTTGTGAAAAACATGTGATATGAATGATTACCATATAGTACTTTCTCTACCACTTTCTGATGTAATTAAAATACTAAATGGAATCTTAGTACGGTCTATAAAGATATATGAGCACTCAGAAGCAATTCGACTGAAAAAATACACGAAAACCTTCGATTTAGTACTCACGGTGGTGATCCACCTCCATCATGTCTGGATGCCCAGCATATGGGACATAGCTTTTTTCAGTGCTGGGTTTGAAGAAGTTGTTACTTTTTGTAAGTAGTTTCCATTGCTTGACGCTTTGCTAATTGTCATAAAAATTCTCTAATTTTAGGAATGTCCATGCAAGCATAATTCAATATTAATTTTAAAGTATTAGCAGCAGAGAGTACAAAGACAGCACTTGATTCATTTTCATGCATTCGTTTCTGAAAAACCAGAGTACCTATTGTGCTAGCTCCATTGTATCTTTAGCCTCTGCATTTTTCAAGTGAGAAACCCCTGTCTTTAATTATTTTCACTATTTTGGCCTCTAGTCTTTCAGCACTTTGACCTGTAATGTTATAGAAACCCGTAAAACTATCACTGATTTATATTTCCATTGGAACTATAATTAACATCATGGCTACCGTTACATATCGGAAAACGTGGCTAAGTTCGTCTTACTATTTTAAATCTTCTAGTGTCCGCGAAAACAGAATAGAATTAAGCTACTTTCATTTCAGTAATTATTTCATCTTTATTTTGACAGCAACTCAATCAGCTCGTTTTGCGTTTGTCTGCAAAATGTTTTGCTTTGGTGTCCTCTGCTATTAACTGTTTAAAAATTGGGTTATACATACTAAAAAGTATTTTCGTTTTTCTCTCCTACTTTTACTCGGGGTCATCCGAAAGCTGTATTGCAAATAGCCAAGGTAGGAGTAAGGTTAATGATTCTTATTCAAATTTGTCCCACAGCTTACCTGCTCTCAGTATTCAGCTCTTAATTCCAGATCATGTGTCGTAAATAACAGGCTAATATATGTGAACACATCATTTCGGGTTCTTTAATGTTTAGAGATATGCATTACCAATCTTCTATTCCAACCTCCCACACTTGTTGGTGAAAAGTATGTTCTCGATCTTCAAACAGCAGACAATTGTTCAATTTTAAATAATAACTCAATCACTTCCTGGTAACCTAATCTCTATTCTTAGTTTTTAATACTATTCACTTGGAAATTATTTTGGTTTGCAAAAACCATATTTAATAAAGAACCTTTTTTTTTACATTGTATCATGATCAATATCTGTTTGAACAAAATAGTGCGGTTTACTTAACTTGTAAGTAATTAATCCAATAGTCTGAAGTTTCACTTTATCATTAAATTTAGACAGATGAAGAAACGTTTTAGTTTAACTGAAATCTAAATTCACAACATTTGACCATCCTTTTAAAAAGAACTCAAATCCCTTTTTTCGTAGTGGGCACAACACAGATAGCCTATTGTGTAACTTTACGCTGAACAACAACAACAACAAAAAAAAAACAGAAAAATTTAAGTTAACACCGTTAGATAAACTTTTTATCATAGGCCGTGAGCACACATGCATGTTTATAGTTTTTAATGGAAAATTGAACACTTTGAAACTTAAAACATATTTCCTCCTGCAACAACAGCAGTTACTGACTAATAAAAGTATATTTTTATTTTATACTGTATTAACAATTATTGATTAATAAAGGTGTTTTTACATCAATAATTTAACGATTTTCATATATTGGTAGACGAATAACATTATCAAATATGTAATGTAATAAATTCAGCGTTTCCCAAAGTGTGGGGCGGCGCGCCCCTCAGGGGGGGGGGCGAGCGATTAGAGTAGAGTCAATAGTGTAATAATGTAAAATTAAGCAATTTAATATATTTTCATTAATGAAAATAATAAGCAATTACTGCAACACATATAGCATTTTAATGCATATCCGTCACTTAACTCACTCTTCCACTCATTTAAAATAAAAGAGGGGGAGCGCAAGAAACCATATTTATTAATGAGTGGCGTGGATGACAAAGTTTGGGAAACGCTGTAATAAGGTATACATCTGAATTTACGTAACACAACGTTCGTAGGTTATTACTTCACAATTATAATATAATTAATCATTAATCAATTATTTATTGTTTGTTTTACAGCAAAGCCACACGGGGCTATCTGCTGCGTTTGTTTCGGGGAATCGAACCACGAATTTAGCGTTATAAGTCGTAAACTTATCAAATTATCGCTGTACCACCGGGGAACTAACCAATTATAATTATGGGTTTATGAATGTGGTCTTTGCCTTAAAAAAGAAGTTATACGTTTGAGAAAAAAGTATTGGAATGAGAAAACAATTGTTTAATTTTGTATTTGAATTCATTGAAAAATTATTCAGGGCCATAATGAATATTATCAGATGAGTATCATTGCCCTGATTTAACTCTTAACTGAATTCAAATACAAAATTAAACACTTTTCCATTTCCCGTATTTTTTCGCATATTAAAACATATAGGACACAGCTCATGATCATTCATTATTTGAAAGTTGAACAGTACTTACCAGAGCAAAATTGCTCTCATCTTTCGGACGATTAGTGATTGCAAGCTTATTTTTATGAGTGATCTATTATTTATCACTTCAAACTGTTTCCGAGATGAAAAGAGAACAATAAAGTTTGTTTGTTTGTTTGTTTGTAGTTAAGCACAAAGCTACACAATGGGCTATCTGTGCTCTGCCCACCATGGGTATCGAAACCCGGTTTTTAGCGTTGTAGGTCCGTAAACATATCGCTGTGCCACTGGGGAGCAAGAACAATAAACGTACAGTACTGTCTCTAACACGGTTGTCTTATTAACAACGACTTGTTTTTGTGGCAGATAACGTATTAACATTATGGGAAATAGTACTTGATGTTTGTTTCGTTTGTTTAGAATCTTCGCGAAGAGCTAAACAAAGAGTTATCTGATGATTTTGAAGCGAGAGACAAAAGGGAAGGTAGCTAATCAATAGCGCTCATCACAAATACTTTTCAGCAACACGTGTCAGACAGAAATTTAACCGTCACTCTTAAATTGTATCCAAGGCTCCAAACACAGTACGGAGCGCTTTTCTGGGACAACGGGATGTGAACAATGAACCATCGTAATCACAATCCGGGTATGCTAACAAACAGGTCACACCCGGTCCACTACATGATGACCTATTGGAGGAAAACAATAAGTTTAAATGTATTATGTTTCTTTTATACAATTTGTTACATCCAGTACAAGAATGGGCTGACGTTTCACTCATATCGAAGAAATGAAAACTGATAACACGGACAAGTTGACAACATAACTAGACCTATACTATTCCGAATACGTCTCGTGGAGCCAATACCATCTCCAATCATATACCTAGGTATTAATAGCATGTTAACACAAAAGCGGTAACCAAGTCATTAAATTTACGTTGAATCTTAACGGACTAGATTTTCCACATGTTATCTGATATCACAGATTATTTGATAAGATAACTAATTAATCTATTATTAAGCTCAAGCTACATAATCTGAACGTTACCAAAATTAGCTACAAAATTACACAAACAAATTGATAAAAATTCTACTCCTAAACATTTAACCTGGTCTAATCATGCCATGTGACCATATCTTTATTCGCCAAACCTCAAGGTATGGTCACACACAAAATAATCGTCTAATACTTATATTATAAGATTAGACAATATACGCTTCATGAAACTGTCATAAATAATAGCTTATATATAACATATTTCATGCTGTTACACGGGTCTAGTATCAAATCAGAGCAACTCGTGTTTAACGATATTTACAAAGAGAGATACATTATGACATTATGAAGCATATATATCTCTATTTTGCCATATGAGGTAACTACTTCTCAGACGTTGCTTACGTTTATATTTAATAACTTAATTACCACAAACTATGTAGGGAAAATAGTTTTCAAAGCATTGAAACTTAGTCACTCCATTACTTTTGCCTATTCAGGTTTGTTATTTTTCATTCAGTGATATTTATATAAGAATATGAAGTTGTTTATTGTGGCATATCACAATGATATCAGTTCAAAATACACTTTTATGATCTAAAATGATATTCTCTCGCTAGTAACTTCACAGGAAGAATGAAAATATGCGTCTTTGATAAAACACTAAAAACAAATTAAACATATATATTGAAATTTAGTGTCTTAAGACTTGAAACGTTATCTTTATTATTCTATTCCAAAGCGTGATTTAAAAGTTTTGATGTTTTTCTATATACAGCAAGTTGAACTGTCGGTATGCCACAACAAAGTTTTTCATTTATGCACGTGTAAATATATTATGTTTCGACATCTTGGTGAGAGTTATCTGTGTAATCTCGTGGACCACGAGATTCAACGTTATATAGTAAGTATAACTTTTACCGTACAATACAGTACTTTTAAAGTGCTTTACATCATCAGTAAGTGTAAAGTATTTTTCTACGATTTAAGTGACCAAAGTAGATTTTAGTTTCCGTCGAAGTGAGGTATTTTTTACAGTGAAATGTAAAAGAAAATAAAAGCTACAAGTTTGTAAAGAACACATCGAAAATATAATATACAAACAGCAATAATAAATAAAAACATGCATGACAAAATACCAAAACGATTTGTTGAGTCTTTTAATTAAAAGCGATATATAGTTATATACTAGAAATGATAGGAGTGCTACATCGATATCACGGACAACTTTTAATTCATATTTTAAACAATCTTCACCCAATTTCAATGACAAGAACTATCTGGTCTTAATAGCTTGACTTATGATAGAAATATAAGAAGCTAGGTAGCTATTATTATACTTACTTGGGCTGTGTACCCATAATTCAGGTTAATGGACCAGTTTTTTAATTCAGCATCTTGCCAATCATCATTACATTTGTCAGGATAAGGTTTCGGCAGTCTTGTGATGTTCACCTGTAACGTATATGCGATTTTAGTGCGTGTGCTATAAGAGGTTTAATTGTGTAAAGAACTGACTAAAATTGAGTAAAATGAGCATTTTCTACGTTACATACACTAACAACAATTAGTGGAATGAATTTCAATATTGATTATATTTGTGTTTAAGTTTGTGTGACTCGTGTTGTTAGGGTCCTTGAAACCAAAAGTCAGGAACCCACAGGCAATTCGATGCATAAATAGTGTAGAAAAATGAGTTTAAAAAGCCTATCAGTAATTCTAAAATCCTAATGTTAATTTAAAACACATTAATATAATTATAAATGTTTTCTTTTGTTTTCTGCCTACACATAGCATAGATAATTAGAATGATAAGGCCTTTGTTAACACTAACCATCTTTACTCCAATGTATGTCACGGCTTCCGGTGCCACGTGAATGGCATCTTGATCGGCGTCTACTCGTAAAGACGGGCTATGGATGATTATTTTGGCACCAGCTTCTTTTGTGGTGGGCATATACTGACTGGTGTTGAGATTAAGTTGAAGCTCGAGACCTATTTATGAAGAGTAGATCTTTAGGAAGAAGATATATAAGAAAATGTTAGCTTATCCATGAAAAGCCAAAAATTCAGTTTGGTGTTGTTTCTTTTGAATTTCGCGCAAAGCTACACGAGGACTATCTGCGCTATCCGCCCCTAATTTAGCAGAGATAGGCTAGAGGGAAGGAACCTAGTTATCTTAGGCTACTTTTTTTACCAACGAATAGTGAGATTGACCATCACATAATGTCGCTCTCACGACTGAAAGGGCGAACATGTTTGGTAGGACGGGGATTCGAACCTGCGACCCACAGATTGCGAGTCGAGCGCCCTAACCACTTGGCCATGTCAGGCCTATGTGTGTTAATCTGGCCTGAATAAAAATATCTCACAGAAACTAACTTTTTGGACCCCTTTCGAGCTTGAAGGGGAGCAGACGCCCCTTTTGGCCTCTTAAAATGGCACCCCTGAATTAGTAACCCCACATAAATTATGCTTTTCAACATTGAAACTCATTTTCCACATTTTTGGTATATTTTTTAAATTTCGCGCAAAGCTACACGAGGGCTATCTGCGCTAGCCGTCCCTAATTTAGCAGTGTAAGACTAGAGGGAAGGCAGCTAGTCATCACCACCCACCGCCAACTCTTGGGCTACTCTTTTACCAACGAATAGTGGGATTGACCGTCACTTTATAATGCCCCCCACGGCTGAAAGGGCGAACATGTTTGGTGGGACTGGGATTCGAACCCGCGACCCTCAGACTGCGAGTCGAGCGCCTTATCCACCTGGCCATGCCGGGCCTCGCCAAATGCTTTGTTGCCCGACGAAGGCTCCTGTGACAGAGCCGAAAACTCGCAAAAAGTATTTTAACGTAGAGAAAAGTCCGTGTATAATAAAAAATAATACCCAGGTGCACACCCTCAGAATTCCCTTAATATCTGTGCAAAGATGCACACCTCTAGGTTCTTTCCTCTTGGAGCTATGGCCTGAATGACTGACACACAAACACACAGGTTATTTTATTAGTATAGATGTTGAAATGACAGTAATTCGACATCAGCCTCAATACTTATCTAACTCAGAAAACGGCAAATTCAGACAAATCTGAAGACTTGCCATTTTCGTTACTTAAAGTGGACACAACTATAATGCTTATGAATAAAACATATAAACGTAATCAAGCCTTACTCACCGTACTTCGGTCCTGTAAATCCTGATACTTCGACCTCTTTTGGTTTTCGATTATTGTCTTCATGAAAATTAAAAGTGTAACAGTTGCCGTATGATGAGTAGAAAACTTCTGTGAATAAACTTTAGAAATAATATAACATCCTGCATTAAACATTTGGTTTATAAAAGGGTATGTGCACTTTATTTTTACATACAAATAATCATTTCATTACACTGAGTGTAGCTGTTTGTTTATTTAATACATTAAAATATTAAAGGTAGCGCTACATTTAGTGTACATACACAATTAGTGAATTGGACAAATTAAATTAATAAATCGATTAAGTGTATTTGCTCAAAAGTATAAATCTTAATTCACTAAAGTATTAACAGAGGTTCGTTGCATATTGTGTTTCTATCATTACGGAATTGGTTGTGTTTCGAGAATACAAGCAACGTTTAGGCATAATTAGATTGTTTAATTTTTAACCAAGTATTCTGTAAAAATACAGAAAGCACTTTATAGATTAGCGCTAGCTAGCACGCATGCTAGTGGTTTTTAAAAGGTTTGAATAAATATATCTTATTTGACCCTCAAATTCACATGTTTTACAAACGCAATGCGTGACGAGAGGAGTATTTGATTTTCTTGGAGTTAAATTGTGATAATAGTTTTACATGCAGTACTTCGTCCAAATGATTAATGGTACTCGGTCTCCATGCGTCATAAAGTTCTGTTACAAATAACATTTTGCTACATTGGACGCTGTTTCACATTCTGCGGGCTAATACCATTTACACACATTCAATAGACCTCTTCCTAAGACCCTTTATACTACCATATGCTGGTCAATTGGACCTGATTTCAGTCTAATAGATTACAGCATTTGTCCTCATGGTGTAATAAAGTAGACATGTTTCTTTAAGAAAAAATAATTGACCAAATCGGCTAGTCTGTACCTTCACTGGATTTCATTTGCAGTAAGCATGTATGAGATAAACTTAGGAGATATAGCATCTTGTCAAGGAAATCCAGATCTAAAGATACTATGGACACAGCTCTTTTAGGGAAATGGTCGTGGATATTATAGTACATTGTAAACAATGTGGCTTAAAAAGGCAGCATCACTAGCATGTTGCCCTTGCTGTTCGTGGTGTCTTTACTACAGATTGAAGTAAAACGTCATAAGCTGTAAAGTCTCCGTTCCCAAATGAATCCAGTTACTATTATAGGCTTCGTATATCAAGCCACGTAATAGATTGTCAGAGGTCTAATTTGCGAATGACATTATTTTATAACAGTGGTTTAGCCTTCTCCTAGCTAAAATATTACACATTTCGTGGGCATGGCTGATGGCAATTCAATTTTTTAAAACTAAAATGTTACACTAAAATATTCGCATTATTTTACTGATTTTTCTTGAGAAATTCATAAAAAGCGCTTCAGCCAACACAAAAAAGCACATTTTTATAGAACGACGGTTAAAAACATTAGATAAACTTTGAAATAAAATACTGTATTAAAAATGGAAGTAGTATTTAATTACTTTTATTAATTTCGTTATGAATCAACAATGTTCCTGAATTGTTAAATATTAAACCTCTTGCTTTAGAATGATTCTTTTTTTAAATCTTATTGCTGTTTCTTATGAAGCTTAAAAGTAACAAGCCTACGATAATGTAATAAATAAATATCTTAAAAAGTCAAACCTGCTGTTTTTACAGTCCCTCCCTTGATACAAACACGATAAGACAAGGTTTTCCCAGGTCTGGCTCAACTCTTTGGCTCTTTCTCCGTTCATTCGTTGTAAGTTAAACAAAAACGAGTTCAAAGAATTGGTCAACGCCCATAATGGATTTTCACCATCTTCGCTCAACTCAAACTTCTTCAAAATAGAGCTAGTACAAGCAGAGAGCTGGTTTTTCTATAAATATATGTGTCAATTAGATAAAAGGAACTGACGGAAAGTTTACTTTCAATAAATATTAGTTACGTCTTAATTATTAAGTACTTTACATTATCCTATTTCCATCAGTTGAAATAAATTAACTTAACCTTGCTTTATTTCGTTGTTACATTTGAGGATACAAAAATGTGACACTAACAATTTGTGTCGTATTGTAAAATAGTTAACTGATAGTTGCACGACAATGAAGAGAACATAAATACCTACCAAATTGCTTGCAAGACTTTCAAGCACCTCTAATCCGTCAGGGGTTATGAGACAGGCAGGATTCTGTAGGGCGCGCACACACATACACACACACACACAAAAGAAAAAAATGCTATTACTTCGTATATTTGTCCTTATTAAGAATTAAAGCTCATTTTTAAAAACAACATAGTGTTAAGTGCTCATTGAAGTAATAATAACTTTCAAATTTATTTTAACGAACTCTTCTTCTCATGTATTTAAGAAATAATATCATCTAATAAGTCGAAATTGAGATATCATTACCAGTATAATTGGATTGGGCATGGCCTATGGTTTAACGCTGAAGGCCTGAGAATGCGGGTTCGAGACGTAATTCTTCCGCACATTCAGCTGTGGGTGAGTTATAAAAATGAGAACGAATCTCATTATTTGTTTAAAAAAAACGGACACTTTTTTGGAGGCAGGTGCTGCTACCTGTTGGCCCTCCATCTTTATAGTACTTTAAAATCGAGAGCTAAACCTAAATACTTAGGTCTCTGACCTGGCAGTTTAGCCCACTTGCATATACGAAGTTGTTCAGATTGACATTTCTAATAAATTTTCATAACACAACATTACCTCTGAGGCAATCGTTATTGTAATAGTTTTTTTTTTTTCTTTAGCCAACCAAAACTTTCTAACAGTCATGTAAGTTGGGTTTGGTTGTTGTTAAACACAAAACTATACAATTGGATATCTGTGCTCTGCCCGCCACGGAGTTATTTAATATATCTTTTTCTATATATTAAATTTCACTAGAGGACATATGATTATTCCAACATTATTTCATTTTAAAAAGTACCGTATCAGTGGGTATATAATATTTCCTGATCTGATAAAGATTTTATGGAAACATCGCACTGTTACCATATGAAATATTAACTCTTGATAATACCAACCTATAAACATACTGTATGTAAGTTACTAAATGTACGATAACAATTATTAGAAATACACGCATTTACACCTGGTATGGCCGGGTAGTTAGGGCGATTGACTCGCAATCTGCGGGTCGCGGGTTCGAATCCCAGTCCTACGAAACATGCTCGGCTTTATAATGTGACGGTCAGTCTCACTATTCATTAGTAAACGAGTAGCTAAAGAGTCGGTCGTGGGTGGTGATGACTAGCTGCCTTCCCTCTAGTCTTTCACTGCTAAATTAGGGACGGGTAGCGCAGATAACCCTCGTGTAGCTTTGCGCAAAATTTATAACAAATCAAACTCTCTGTGGGTCAGCGATACGTCAGTGGGTTTATAACGCTTTGTGCTTTATAACAAACAGATCTTTGAATCCTTCCACTATGCCCCCAGTGACCTAGAGTAGGTCTGCGGACTTACAACGCTAGAAACCGAGTTTCGATACCCGAGATGGCCACAGCACAGATGACCCAATGTTTTATGCTTAACTACAACCAAACAAATCCTTCCAATAATTTATTAAGCATATTTGGCAAAACTACAAAAGGACTATCTGCGCATAAGTGTCCCTAATTTCGCATTAGAGAGAAGGCAGCTAGTCAACAGAACCCATCGTCAACGCTTGTGTTACTGTGACCGAATAGTGAGATTTTAACATCAGTCTAAAATGTCCACGACCTTAAAGTGCGGAGCGTATTTTCTCGGCATGGGGACTCGAAATGGAACCATCAGATTCACACTCCGGACACGCTAACCAATAGGCCAGGCCCGACTTCTTTTGATAATAAGCTACTTATAGATTGCCTGTCATATCTCTTGTATAATTTGTACACTTGGCAAGTTCTCTTTCTTTTTACTGTTTTTATTCTGTTAGGTGTTTAGCTCCAGTGTAGACTGTATATAAGTGTTTAGATCCAGTGTAGACTGTATATAAGTGTTTAGATCCAACGTAGACTACATGTCTATTTGTTATGGGTTAGCAATCATAATAATTTTTCACCAAATAATATCTCTCTGTCAAGAAAACTGTTTAACACTCGTTTGTATGTTCGAAAAAGTTATGTGAATAAAAACTTACAATCTATGTACAGATGATAGATATTTATTATCTCTGTATTCATTCTGAGGTTTTTAATTGTCTGATGTGATTTATATCTATCTAAATTTATATTTACATAAATCAGTGAAACTTTGTACGCACCTTCATTGATGATATCATATCTTTCAGAAAATTTATCAGTTTTTCCGGAACTTCGCTACTTCCAAAGTTACATCCCTGATATATTTAAAAAGCATTTCAATTATTACAATAATAAATCAGCATATCGGTTTGGAACCTAGTTAATAAATGGGTTCAAATTAAGATACACGTTTTGTTTACTAATTTAATACTGCATGGCAAGATTACTTTCAAGTTAAAAACAAATAACTACATAGTTTACCTGAAATCTTTTTGGAATCCCACGATACAGCTGGTGACTAACTAATGAATTGGTCCTATATTTTAGGGTTATTTTGTAGAATTATCAAGCTATATAAACATAACTAATTATTCGCATATTTCGCTTGAAAATGAGTCTTCCTTTGTGTTATTCTATTCTATTCTTCAGTGTCTTGAATAAGAAACATTGAGTATGTACGTATATATATATATATATGGCTGTTTATTGTTTTCAAAGTAAGATTTTTTTTAAACAAAGGATTGTGATATTCATCTCTGTAATTTGAAAGTTAGGCAATCAAAAGTTGATTCTGGAGGCAGCTTTTAAGAAATTTCATTGTGACATTCATGTAGTTTTATTCTAAATTAATAAAAGTTAAACTGCCGGTTTCATCTTCAATTTAACTTCACTGTAAATAGCATAGCAGCTTTCAATTTTAGGACGTTATGAGAGAATACATGCCATATATTGTGAACTAGCAGAAACGTCGCCCTTCAAGCGGCTGTTCGGGTCAGGATCTTGGAGAGCTGAAGAGTGTGCTTCTGTGTCACGAAATGCCTCCTAACTTCTGACTGCATTTTGTACTTCTGTATTTCGGGTTTGTTCCTCGTTTTTTCTCACTGGATCTGCCTCTTAACTCGGTGAGCAAACCTATCTCTTTCTTGCTCTTTCTTTCTGTAACTTGCATCCTGACTTTCTCCGTGATAAGTCATTTTTCCGTTTGGCAATTTTTGGCATCGTGATTTTCGATGTTTTTGATCACTTTATACTTATACTAAAGTCAAATATTACGTGTATAACCTACGAAGATCAAGTAACTACACAATTCCTGCAAATTTGTATACAACGAACTACGCATGAAGGATGTACGATTCCTTAGGTCACAGAATAATTCAATTCATAGGGTACACTTGGATTCTCCAGCAGAAAAAGTCACTTTTCTTCTGAATTACCACAATGATTCTCTCCTAGGAAGATTCACTTTGATAGTATGCATTAAACCCACTTTACCACAATTTTAGACGTTTTATAAAAAATTAATCTAGTTGATAATAATATATATCTACAAAATTAATGTACATTACTAAATAGGACAGAAGTGCCATTAAGGAAGCGATTTAGGAAAAAAATGTTATAAAATAAAGTTCTATATTTTTTCTAAATTTTAGCAAGAGTCTATTTATAACATTTTTCATTTTGGTGTGATATAAAGCTGTTATTAACGTATTTCTTAAAACAAGTGGACACATGCACTAAATAAAATTTTTAATAAGAGACCCAATTATAATGAAACTTTGTCAGGAACTTCCCCTTATGATGTTGAAAAATCGTGCGACGAAAATAGAAATAGCAAAAACATAAAATAAAAACATTAGTTAAATCTGAACTTACCGTAGTTTCCTGCACTGTCTTTTGAAAGACAGGAATTACAGCCTTGACTATTCTCGTGATGTTTGAATTGAAAAGATCATTCACACCCAGTTTGTCCAAACTCTTGAAAGTACACAAGAAAACTTATTCTGTATACATATATACCTATGTATTCATCTAAGTCTTTAATTCTAGACATGAATCATATTTCTGCGGATTCCTGGGTTGTATTGTTCATAATGCAGATTTTATGAAACTAGTTATTTATTTGCTTTAATCGTGTTTAAGTGTTCATGACGATGTAAGTATCACAGGACTGGCCGAAGCGTCTTTTAAGACATGTAATAATGCGTGCCTTCTTCGTGGAATATAGGAGTGACTGAATCGTTATTAATTAAATCTTCCCAACTGGTCGTTAACGAATTAATGTTATTGACCTTAGCTTAATATCATAATACTGGTTGTGTACTATTAAGTGAAAACTGTTATTAGCATGAATCTAGACATAGGTACTCAAATGGTTAGAGCAGACTCAAAGACCTGGATTAGATTTTTGTTCGCTCTCCAATTTCACTGAGTCACAATAATTTCTAAATTAGTGTTAAAGTATTTTCTTGGAATGTCTACGATAAAACTAGTTACTTCTATACTATAAATTTAAACTCTTAGATATGTGAGTTTTGTTTTTGTTTTGTCATGGAAGATGTTGCTAGTTAGTCCAATGGTTGCTGCTCTTAGCTAACACTCATCCATTCTCTACAGAGCATTCTTTCTTGATCGAGTGATATTGTCTGGTGACTAACATCCTTAAAAATTAACTTAGAAAATAAAACTATGTATAAAGGTAATGGTAATTTACATAATAATGAAGTATTGAAAATACATTTATAAAAAAATCAATAGAATAATAAAACAAACTAATATCAGTAGTATCTATGAAAAATTAAATATACAAAATGCATATCAAGATTTTATTATACTATTAGAACATATAATTACATCATCTACGGAATATGTAAGAATAAACATAGAAAAAGTTATAATCATGGATTGTTACAATCTATTCAACTAAGAATTAAAATGCATACAAGTGGAAAAAACAGTTGAAAGTGTAGGAATAGGTGCACCAAAATAAATAAATAGAGGAAACAAGGTAGAAATGGGCATGGTGTAGTAAAACATCCTCTGTACAACCTCACAAGGGGGGGGGGCTTGTCCAATATCCTGTCTA